GGTAGCTATAGCTAGCTTTAAGTACTGAAGTACCTGCATATATATATATATATATATATATATATATATATATATATATATATATATATATACATACACACACTGGAGGTATATTTTAAGGGGCTAATTGAGAAAATTGCTATATTTTGTATTAGTTTAAAAATAAAATAAAAATATCGGATTAATATCGGTATCGGCAAAAGCCAAAGCTGCAGCATCGGTATCGGAAGTGAAAAAGTGGTATCGGGACATCCCTAGTATGTATGATGATAAATGTGTATATTTTTGTGTTTAAGTAACACAAAGGGTCGTTTTAGATGTTGCTTAAACCCTCTTCAATCAGTTACTATAGTACTTGCGTGGGAATACAGTGTTTTTGTATTCCATAATACTCAGTGTGAGTTGTTTTATATTATTTATTTATTTATTTATTTATTTATTTGCTCAGGACCATAAATCAATGGATAGAGCACAAACAAGAAATAAAATAAATACCAAAGAAGAAATGATGACATATTATTTTGTAAACAAAAACAAAGGTACCATGCAATATACCATGGTTATATCTGTACTAGGGTATGTACCATAAATCTGAGGGACCATATTATGTACCATAGTAACAGCTACAGTACCATACAATGTACCATGGTAATATGGTACTGCAGAATGCACCATGGTAACATCTGAGGTACTATGGTATGTACCATGGTAAATCTAAGGTACCATACTATGTACTATACAACACTGTAAAAAAAAAATCCTAAATTCACAGAAAATAACTGTGATTTTTGACAACCATTTTCTTTCATTTTAAATTGTACTCAAAACACTGCAAAATTACAAATAATATCTGGAAAATAAAAATGCAGCTGATATTTTAGGTATTGTTACATTAAAGAAAAAATTCCAGTCATTCACATTTTTTTTACAGAAATTGATTGTATTTTTCATACAGTATTTTTCTGTTTTCTTAAATTACATAAACATTTATGTAAAAGTACAAATAGAATCTGTAATTAAATGGTAACAAAACAGTTAAATGATTACATGACTGTAGCTCAAAAAAACTGTAACATTAAAGTAAAACGTCATAAATTAAATAAACTGAAAAACACTGTTATTTACAGGTATTTCCTGCATTATTATGATCAAATACCTTCATTGTAAAAAATATCATTAAAAAAATGGTCAAATGACTGACAACAAAGGCTGCCAAACAAAAACCATAAAATTAAAGTAAAATATTCAAATGTAAATAAACTGAAAAAAAACACTGTTATTTAAAGGTATTCCCTGCATTATTATGATCAAATACCGTCATTTTAAAAAAATCGTTAAAAAAGGGTCAATTGACTGGCAGCACAGGGTGCCAAACAAAAACCATAAAATTACAGTAAAAATATGTTAATCTAAATAAAAACTTGACATCACCATGATTGAGATCAGTGTTTGCTTTAGTTGAGCTGTTGACCTTTATTATATGCTATTAGTTTTACTCTGGCTGCTTTAATTATGTTTTCAACATACATTTGTTATAGCATTGAAAGCGGGAGAAAATATCAGCTGATGTTGGTCAGTTATTGGTGATGTTATAGTCATCATATGGTGACCTGATTCACTGATGTGACAGAGAAATACCCGAGTGTATCTGTTGTGATTACATTATAAATAGGTGTAAAAAAATCTAGGATTGTCGTATTTTCCCCATGAACCTTGTTATATTGAAACAATATTAATTAAGTGATTAATTTAGTGATGATTGAGCATTATTGAAGTCACCTGGTGATAACAAGCAGAATCACTGAAGGAGAAAATCACAAATTGCAAGCCACCGTTATGGCGATCAGTGTTTGCTTTAGTTGGGCTCTCGACACTTATACTTTCACTTTAAATTTTGTTTGTCTGCTGTTATTGATTTATAACAGTCAAATGAACAAAGAAAAGTGGGATCTGACAGAGTTGGTTATTTTTTGACATACTCATACTGTGATCTAAATGAAACCTATTCAGATGATTCGGTTTAACTTGTTAGCAACAGTTTAGTGGTTCTGCAGCATATGATAATCTGTATTTTTCTTATAATCCAAAAAATGTATAAAAATTGTTCTGATCCAATCCCTTTATCTTTATTTAGAAACACAGACATCAATAATCAGCCTGTGTATCTCAACCGTGGTGACAATAATAATCCTTTGCATCTAATCAGTAAAGCCGGTTCCTTAATTAGTAGTAAATCACCTTCACCTGCTTTCAAATAGACGATATGAGTGTTAAATTAACCCTCAAGAGTGTTAAAGTTAATGAGATAATTAAGTGATTAATTTAGTGATGATTGAGCATTAATGAAGACACCTGATGATCACAAGCAGAATCACTGAAGGACAAAATCACAAATTGTAAGTCACCGTTATGGAGATCAGTGTTTGCTTTAGTTGGGCTCTTGACACTTATACTTTCACTATAAATTTTGTTTATCTGCTGCTATTGATTTATAGCAGTCAAATAAGACATCTGTGATCTAATAGTGCTGGTTATGTTTTGACATAATCATGTTTGATCTGAAAAATGAAATCTATTCTGATGCTTTGCTTTAACTTGTTAGCAACAGTTTTGTGGTTTTACTGCATATCTGTATTTTTCTTATAACCTAAAATGTTTAATAAAAATATTCTGATCAAATCACTCTCATCTTTATTTAGAAACACAGAGATCAATAATCAGCCTGTCTATCTCAACTGTGGTGACATTAATAATCCTTGTTGCCACCAATCACAACTCTTTAATGGCTCGCATCATGCATTTACTTTTCCTAATTGAATATTCTACTCGTCACCGTTGTTCAGAAGCATTGACTGAATCTTGAGGTCTGTGTCTAAAGGAAAGTTTTTTTTAAAAAACAACTTTTGAGAAATCCATCTATTGTATTTAACATTCTGGACATTTATGCAGAATGTCATCCACTAACCAACAGAATAAATTATAGACATAAATTTCAAATGTTGAATGTCATTATATGACCAACATCATTTTATTATTGTTTATTTTTGTTCATCTGAAAGATATAACTCAGATGCAACAGCAAATAAAAATATTAAATTTATATTATAAGGGTCAAGAGACCAACTAAAGCAAACACTGATCTCCATAACGGTGGCTTAAAATTTTAGATATTTTTTCCTTGTGATTCTGCTTTAGGTGTCTTCAATAATGCTCAATCATCACTCATTTAATCACTTAATTATCTCATTAACTTTAACACTCTTGAGTGTGGACTCATATACACCCCCAGGTGTGTTAGTTTAACACGAGAGGTTTTGTCGTGACAAAGAGCCGTAGTTAACTGACCAGCTGAGCCATATCGCTTTAAATATCGCTGGCGATATGTCCTCGATATTAACGCGATTTGGCTCAGCTTGTCAGTGAACTACGGCTCTTTGTAGTAAATGCCGCTCCATCTGAAAGCAGGTGAATGTGATTTACTACTAATCAAGGAACCGGCTTTACTGATTAGATGCGCATACAATATCGTGCGATATATCGCCCAGCCCTAATCACAACTCATTCATGGCTCCCATCATGCATTGCGGTATGAATAAATTATTATCTGAATTGTCTATGTAATTTACTTTTTCTAAGTGAATATTCTGCTCGTCACCATTGTTGAGAAGCATTGACTGAATCTTGATATCTGTGTGTGCCTAAAGACAGACCTTCTTTTTTTGTACAACTTTTAAGAAATCCATTATATTATATCTCAAATTCTGGGTATTTATTCAGAATCACAGTTATAATGTACCCAACAACATAAGTCACAAACATTAAGTTCAAATAATGATTGTCATAATATAACAAAAATTATTAAATAATATTTTTTTCTTTGTTCATCTGGCAGGTATAACTCAGATGCAACAGCCAATTAAAATATAAAGTGTATAAAATAAGGGTCAAGAGCCCAACTAAAGCAAACACTCATCTCCATAACGGTGGCTTACAATTTTAGATTTTCTCCTTGTGATTCTGCTTTAGGTGTCTTCAATGATGCTCAATCATCACTCAATTAATCACTTAATTATCTCATTAACTTTAACACTCTTGAGTGTGTACTCCTGTATCCCAGGAGTGTTAAATTAACACTGACTGAGTTTTTGCTGTGACGAAGAGCCGTAGTTAGCTGACAAGCTGAGCCATAGTGCATTACAAATCAGGTGATATCACTAAGCATTCAATTACATGAAAACAATTACCATTAATAAGTGATCAGATCTTCTGAACTGAGATTCTCTTGGACTCCTACCATAACAAATATGTATCAATTATGACACTCAGTTAAAGCAGCCAGAGAAATAGTAATGTTAAAAGCAAAGGGTCAAGAGCCCCACTAAAGCAAACACTGATCTCCATCATAGTGACATCAACATTTATTACTTTATATAAAAAATCAACTTCTAAACATCTGTCTCAGTAAGAATGTTAGTATGAAATAAATAAAGTCTGGGTTGTTTCTGTATGGTGTGTTTTGTGGGTCACCATTGTGTTGAAGAGTAGAGCCTGTGCTACAGTTCAGGATGAGCAGAATAAAACTGATGAAATGGTGCATGTTCCTTTGTTTAACTGACAGTAACTGTGTAGTTGCTGATGCAGTGATGTATAGTGACAGAAAATAATACATCACCTACATGTTTCTTAATAAAAAAATCAGGAAATGTGTGAAATAACTGTGTTTCTGTTAAAGAGCTTAATGAAGATTTCTACTTTTGCGCTTATTTAAATTGGGCTATTTTACATTCATTTTATGTTTTTTGTATGGCAGCCATTGTTGACAGTCATTGACTGTTTTTTAATATGAAGGTATTTGATCATAATAATGCATTGTCTCTACAGTTAGAGTGTTTGATCATAATAATCCAGATAATAGCTGTAAAATAACAGTGTTTTTCTGTAAAACAACTTAATTTATTGTGGCCCGGTGTGAATATTAGTGACAACACTAGACACAGGGATTTAAATTATCTGTGGGATCGTTTATTCCAGACTGCACTTGAAACAGCGCAGCGTTAACTATGCAAATATGTGATACTAGACAGGAAAGCTTGTTACATTGGTTGGAATCAATAAAGATATTTTGTTATCAACTCTAGTCTCTCTTGTCTTTCTGTTCTCAGTCACCACATTAACAAATAAACTACTGGAATCTAATTAACATAGACAACGATAGTGGACTCGTATTCTGAAAAACACATACACAGATTGTTACAAGATTTGTCAACACAGAATACCAAATAAAGCTGCTTATCTTACATAAAAGATGCATGAAAAATGTAAAAAATGAAGTTACATTTCCCAGTAACATTAATACATTCTAATCATTACAATGGCTAACATCCACTAAATATAAATCACTCTGAATTAACATTCTAATATTCCACAAAGAAATAATTAAATGACTCTTATTATAATAATCAAATTAAACTTACTGTTCATCAACACACTTTATAGCATGTACACACTGTCACATTGAATGCTGAACTCAATTCCCCTTTCTGTTGCTTCACACTCGGCCTGGAAAAACTCAGGAGGCCTTAAGAATACTCCTCTCCCCTGCTTCGAGATTTATTGTCGATCGGATTTCTCCACATAGGTATGCATCTCGAGTCGACAGAATTTCAAAGTTCCCTCAGCACAACACACAATCCTCACAACACACTAAGAGAGACTTCCAAGTTACTATATGTGCTTTTTTTGTTATTTTAACAGTAACATCTGCGTCTAATGGCCTCAGCACTCCACCGCATGAGCCGCACTTCAAATCACGTTGTGACCACGCGCTGTACACAGCAGAATCTCGCGATTCTTCCAGAATGTCACACATCGCGTTTCTTAAAGGGCTAGCGTACTATTCCATCAATTAATGAGAAAACCCTGGAACAGTCTGTGGTGTAACTTTCCTTATCCTAGAGCATTAGTTAACCAGTACAGTAATTGGTTTGATAACTTTTGACCTGGTTACACTCTCCCCTGCTGATAGTCGACGTCCCCGGTGACTACTAACCCTAATCATCTTGCCCCCCTTGAAGCTTCCCTGTGGTATAGAGGACCATTCCAGCTAGCACTTGGGAGAGCACATCCGGACTAAAAGACACTGCATTGCATGTCGACTTGGGTAAATGGTTTGGGTTACTATGTACTCCTGCATTTGTTCTCTGTGTTTTACGCACAGCAGGGCAAGGCACTTCTGGCTTAACACCCTCTTCCTTTCTCTTTCTAGGTGTGGGCACCGGTTTTATCACTGGATTCTCAGCAGGTAAGTGAACAATTTCTGTTTCTGGCTCCAGAAATACTGGCGGCACTCCCAGGGTATCATCCAGGGTCTCGTTGCACTCTGGTTTCGAGCAATAACCCCTCCTATCAGATTCCTCCATCTGATCTTTGAAACTGTCTCTGTCTCCAGGAACTGGCTGTTCTTGATGCTCAGATGTTGGTACTACTGCCAGTTTCTCCTTGAAACACGGAACTTCCTCCACTAGAACACACTCAGCCTCCAAGGAGGTCATCTCTGACTCAGGATCTGGGGTAGGTACCTCCTCCACAGAAGTTTGCCGACGCTTTGGCACGGTCACTGGGGCTGGACCATTGCAGGGTCTGAGGTTAGATCTGTGCACCCTCTTCAATGTACCTCCTTCAACAGGCTCCACGGTGTACGTCGTTCCTTGAACCTCTAACACCTTGTACATTGTTGAAGACCACGCGTCCTGAATCTTGTTTCTTCCTAGTGGCCGGTGTCGTAGGTACACATGTTGTCCAATCTCTACATCAGGGCAAAACACCTTCTCCTCATGCCGCGCAGCTCGTTCCACAGCCTTCCTTTCCGCATATTCCTTTGCTCGAACATGGGCATCTCGGAGGCGTTCCTGGTGTACTTTTAACCAATCATGTTTGTCATCGGTTACAGGCTCCTGGCCCAACAGTGCATCAACTGGCAGATGTGGCTGGATCCCAAACAACAGATAGTATGGTGAGTATCCTGTGGATGAGTGTGGTGTCACATTATATGCATAGACCAGCTCTGACAAGTGTTCAGGCCACCTGCGCTTCCTTTCGGGTGGAAGGGACTTCAAGAGATCATGAAGGGTTCTATTGAACCTCTCACATTGAGGATTTCCCTGGGGGTGATGCGGGGTCGTGCGCGTTTTCTTGACTCCATATAACTTGCAGAGTTCCGCAATCACAGCACTCTCAAAATTCCGGCCCTGATCAGAGTGCAAGCGTTGCGGCACTCCATATTTCAGGAACCACTCCCTGAGGAGAATCTTGGCAGTGGTCTCCGCCTTCTGATCACGGGTGGGAAATGCTTGACTGAACTTTGTGAACACATCTGTCACTACAAGAACATTTTCTCGCCCATCCGTGGCTGGTTCAAGAATGGTGAAGTCCACTGCTACAACCTCCAAGGGACGTGTGGCCAAGAATGAAACCCAGGGTGCCTTGACTTTTGGTTGCGGCATCTTTGCTAATACGCAGCGTTGACATCGCTTTACCCACTGTTCCACATCCTCATACATTCCTCCCCAGAAACATCTCTGTCTCAGCAGGCCTAAGGTCCTCTCTATACCCTGATGACCCATCTGATCGTGGACACACTTTAAGACTTGATCTATCAAACAGGTGGGTAACAACAGCTGATGACATTCTCCAACATGGACATCATTTATTACACGGTATAACAGACCATCCTTTTCTCTTATCTTTGGCCACTGCTTCAACAGGGATCGTACAGCTGTGGCCAGACCCATCCTCTCTTGCTTGGTAGGTTTCCTTTGCCTGCTCCAGAACTTCTTGAACACACTTAGTGCTGGATCAGACTCCTGGAACTGACGAAGTTCTGACTCTGAATACCCGGGCAGAGTGGGGGTATTCTCACACTCAATATCCTCTTCTCCTGCTGTGGTTACCTGTAACTGCCTGACTTTGCTGCACTCAACTCCTGCTGCCAACAGGTCTGGTCCCAGAGCTGTTCCTGTCCTGAGCGAGTTACAGATTGCCACGGAACCATCAAATTCGGCGTCTTCGCTTGCAGAGTCTGGTTCATCTAATCCTGGTCTCCTCGAAAGAGCATCAGCCGCAGTGTTACACCGTCCAGGGCGGTACTTGACTTCAAAATCGAACACAGCGAGCTGGGCAACCCAACGTTGTTCGCAGGCCCCTAACTTGGCAGTTGTGAGGTGGCAGAGGGGATTGTTGTCTGTTATGATGGTGAATTTGGACCCCAGCAGATAACTTCTGAACTTTTCAGTGACTGCCCACTTTAATGCTAATAGTTCCAGCTTCATGCTGCTGTAGTTCCGATCATTTTTCTCAGCCCCTCTTAATCTCCTACTGGCATAAGCCACTACAACCTTCTTGCCGTTTTGTTGCTGATACAAGACCGCTCCCAACCCCAGGTTGCTCGCATCTGTCTCAATCACAAAGGGAAGCGTGAAATCAGCATAACCAAGTGTGGGTGCCCTGGTAAGTCGGTCCTTAAGGTGCTCAAATGCCGCTTGACACTGAGGAGTCCAGATGCTCTTATACCGCTGAACTGCCTTGGCGTGGCTGGTCTCTTTAAGGCACAAGTTCACCACATCGTGCAACGGTCCAGCTATCTGGGAGAACCCCTCGATGAATCTCCGGTAATAGCTACAAAACCCCAAGAACGATCGGAGTTCCTTGAGAGTGCCCGGGACTGGCCACTCCCGGACTGCGCTTATCTTATCGGGGTCTGTGCTCACGCCTTGGGGTGAGACTTGATGGCCCAGGAACTTCACTTCAGGCTGAAGGAAATGACATTTCTCCATCTTTATCTTCAGTCCAGTTTCCCTTAATCTTCTTAACACAGTTTCCAGCCTCACCAGGTGTGTGTGAAAGGTGGACGAATACACCAACAAGTCATCCAGGTAGACGAGCACAATCTGAAACACCAAGTCACTCATGACAGCCTGCATGAGTCTCTGGAAGGTTGCAGGCGCATTACACAACCCGAAAGGCATCCGCCGGTATTCATAGAGGCCAAACGGTGTGATGAATGCCGTCTTCGGTCTGTCATTTTCATGGACCGCCACTTGATGGTAACCGCTAGCAAGATCTATTGTGGAGAAAACTTTTGCTCCTCCCAACGCATCCAAGCTCTCATCAATGCGCGGCAATGGAAAAGCGTCACGCTTAGTCTTCGAGTTTAGTCTCCTATAATCCACGCACAGCCTTAGACTTCCATCCGACTTGCGTACCAGAACGATGGGTGAAGCGTAAGAACTCGAGCTTTCCTGGATGACACCCTTCCTGAGTAAACCTGAGATATGCTCCTTAACCTCTTCAAATTGAGTCGGCGGTATTCTGCGATATGGCTGAGCAACGGGAGCCTCATCCGTCAAGTGGATCTCGTGTTTCACCCGATCTGTATATCCTAGCTCTTCATCACAGGATGCAAACACATCGGCATACTTCAAAAGTAGCACTCCCAGGCTTGCTTGCTGTTCCGGTGTACCTCCTATATGTAGTCGACTCAACAGATTAGAAACATCAGTACCAGACTCTGGTTTGTCTTTCTGATTGACCATCACTTCTTCGTGATCAGCAGAGATACGCTGGAATCTCACCTGACAAGCTTCACTCTCAACACACTGACAGTGGGTAAGTATTCCAAGTGGGACTTTAGGTGGCAGCCAGACATCTTCTTGGGAGAAGTTGACCACTTGAACTGGAAACACTCGACTTCTGGACGACACCAAAGTGGGCATGGGAATCAAACCACCTGGTAATGGGGTGTTTCCTGGTTCCAGCAAGAGCCAAGCGTTAACATCAGGGGTTCTCTTGTTTACTCTGGCATGAACAGTGGCTATAGAGGATGCTGGAATATGGGTTTTGCCCCGACAACTAACTCTGGCTGTTGACATTGTCTTCCCTCGTTCATCTTCCTGTACACGGGTGAAGGCTTCTCGCCAAACAGAGTCCAACTTCCCTCCTAATGTGGTGTCAAACTCAGTCAGTGCTAACTCTCTGCATCTCTGGGTGATGTTCATGCCTATGATACCGGGTGGAGTTGGATCCGGCTCCGCAGCTTCCACATCTCTGACTATCAGGAAACCACACTCCGGTATAGTTAGCCCCATCACTTGGATGTCCAATTCAACATATCCCAGGTACGGCAGGGGTAACTTGTTCGCTGCAGTTATCCTTAGACACTTAGAGGTGCAATGAAGGTCCCCGTCCTCTCCATGTAGGTTTTCTCTAAAGAAGCTTTCTGTTAGGGTACTCACATTACTTCCTGTGTCTAGCAGACATCTTACTGGGACACCCCCAATGCAAATATCAACTTCAGGGCACCTGCCAACAGCACGCTCCAAGAACCGTTCTTTCGTTAACGTACTGCATCCCGAGCCTTCTGGTTTCCCTCGCATTGCTCGGCTCACCGCAACGGAGGGACACCGTTTCCCTGTACCGTAGAACTCTGGGTGGCAGTGGGTTGACCCTTGAAACCACGAGGTGCAGGACAATGTCTAG